GACTGTCCTCAATTCGTTTCATTCTTTTTTCTTTATTCTGCTCTGCAGTAGTTATTTCCACTATTTTATCTTCCTGGTCAGTTATCCGTTCTTCTGCCTCGGTTATTCTGCTATTGATTCCTTGTAAAGAATTTTTAATTTCCTTTATTGAGTTGTTCATCATTGTTTGTTTGCTCTTTAGTTCTTCTAGTTCCTTGTTAAACATTTCTTGCATTTTCTCCATTCTATTTCAAAGATTTTGGATCATCTTTACTATCATTACTCTGAATTCTTATTCAGGTAGACTGCCTATTTCCTCTTCATTTGTTTTATCTGGTGGTTTTTTACTTTGCTCCTTCATCTGCTGCATATTTCTGTGTTTTCTCATTTTGCTTAAATTACTGTGTTTGGGATCTCCTTTTCACAGGCTACAGGTTAGTAGTTCCCGTTGTTTTTGGTGTCTGCCCCCAGTGGGTTGTGTAGGCTTCCTGATGGAGGCGACTGGTTCCTGTGTACTGGTGGATGAGTCTGGATCTTGTCTTTTGGTGGGCAGGACTGTATCCGGTGGTGTGTTTTGAGGTGTCTGTGAACTTATTATGATTTTAGGCAGCCTCTCTGATAATGGGTGGGGTTGTGTTCCTGCGTTTCTAGTTGTTTGGCATGGGGTGTCCAGCACTGGAGCTTGCTGATCGTTGAGTTGAGCTGGGTCTTAGCGTTGAGACGGAGATCTCTGGGAGAGCTCTCGCCTATAGAGATTACATGGGGCCGGGAGGTCTCTGGTGGACCAAAGTCCTGAACTCGGCTGTCCTGCCTCAGAGGCTCAGGCCTGACACCCAACCGGAGCACCAAGACCCTGTCAGCCACACGCTGTCTTTGGTTTTCCGTCTCCAGGCACAGCCTGGCCTCCACACACCTCCGTGTCTCCAGGAAGGCTTGGCACTGGGCCCGGTCTGACAGGTAACTAATGAAGATTCCAGCTGTGTTCATACACATGAATAACACTGCCTGGGCCACAACTCATCAGCTCAGTAACTCCACTTCGGTGTGGCTTCCCTGTCTCTTAATTGCACACATGCTCACTCCAGTTACTGAAAGCAGAATCCTAGGGCTGTTCTAGAAGCCTTCCGTTCCATTTCCAGTCTGTTACTGTTCATTTCCTGCCTTGATTAACCTCATTTGACCCTGTCTCAATCTCTCACCTTTCTACTAGAATCTTTTTTTGGGCTGGAGGGGCATTATTGGTACAGCAGCTGGTGTAAGATTAAATATCATACAAAGCAAAGCTGGAAACAAATTGCCTATTTTCTTTTTTTTTTTTTTTTTTCGGTATGTGAGCCTCTCACTGTTGTGGCCTCTCCCATTGCGGAGCACAGGCTCCAGACGCACAGGTTCAGCGGCCATGGCTCACGGGCCTAGCCGCTCCACGGCATGTGGGATCTTCCCGGACTGAGGCACGAACCTGTGTCCCCTGCATTGGCAGGTGGACTCTCAACTACTGTGCCACCAGAGAAGCCCTCAATTTTTATCATTTGTATAATTTTTGTTTTTCTAGAATATTCTTTTCAACGAGGTATTCAAATTTATTATCCGTTTTATTAATCTTTTAGAATACTGTCCTTCATCATGTCTCATCAACATTCTTTATATTTTTCATTTATTCATTTTAGCTCTAAGAGGTTCTTTTTTAAAATTTAATTAATTTTTGGCTGTGTTGGATCTTCATTGCTGTGCATGGGGGCTACTCTTCGTTGTGGTGCGTGGGCTTCTCATTGTGGTGGCTTCTCTTGTTGTGGAGCACGGGCTCTAGGTGCGCAGGCTTCCGTAGTTGTGGCACGCCGGCTCAGTAGTTGTGGCGCATGGGCTCAGTTGCTCTGTGGCACATGGGATCTTCCCGGACCAGGGATTGAACCCGTGTTCCCTATGTTGGCAGGCAGATTCTTAACCACTCTGCCACCAGGGAAGTCCCTCTAAGAGATTCTTGATATCACAAGCAGAAAGGAGCTTTCTGAACGTCAAATCTTACCATGTCTTTCTCTTGTTAAAGACTTTCAGCAATTTAGGCCATCGTCCATATGATAATCTCTAGTTGCGTTTGCAGGCGTACCACCTGCCATCTGCACCACAGCTCTGCTAAGCCATTTGTCTCCTAAGCACTCTGTGGTCTCACCCTCGCTTGCATCTACTGCTCTCTCTCCGTGCAATGCCCTCCGTATCTGTTCTCCCACTACATCATGAGATCCTGGTGGGCTATTCTGTCTAGCTTTTTATTCCCGATGATTCTCACATTTTAATCATTTAGTAATGCTGAATACATTTGCTAAATAGAAAACTTTATTTTTCCTATTCAGTTTAGTTTTCTTGTGTGGTGAAATATACATAACATAAGATGGTCCATTTTAACCACTTTTAAGTATACGATTCAGTGGCATTAAGTAGCTTCACATTGCTGTGCAACCATCGCCGGTATCCATCTCCAGATCTTTTCATCATCCAAAACTGAAACTCTGAACCCGCTAAAAAATAACTCCCCACGACACTTCCCCTTAGCCCCTGGTTACCTCTGTTCTACTCTTCTGTCTTTATGAACTTGACTACCTCATTTGAGTGGAATCATACAGTGTTTGTCTTTTTGTGTCTGGCTTCTTTCACTTAGCATAAGCTCTTCAGGGTTTATCCATGTTGTGGCATGGATCAGAATTTCGTTCCTTTTTAATCTGAATAATACCCCACTGTATATATAGACCACAGTTTGTTTATCCATTCATCTGTCAGTGAACATTTGAGTTGTTTTTACCTTTTGGCTCTTGTGATTAATGCTCTTCCGAACATCGGTGTACAGATACCTGTTCAAGTCCCTGCTTTCAATTCCTTTGGGTATTTACCTGTAAGTGGAATTGCTGGATTGTATGGTAATTCTGTGTTTAACTTTTAGAAGGTTTTCCACAGCAGCTGCAGTATTTTACATTCCCACCAGCAATTACACAAGGGTTCCAGTTTCTCCACATCCTTGCCAGTGCTTGTTATTTTCTGTAATTTTTTATAATAGCAATCCTAATGAGTGTGCGTAGTATTTCATTGTGGTTTTGATTTGCAGTTTCCGAATGATTAGTGATGTTAAGCATCTTTTCATGTGCTTTCTGGCCATTTATAGATCTTTGGAGAATTGTCTATTGTCCATTTTTAAATTGGGTTAAATTTCCAAGCTGAAACAAATACCAAAATATTGAATAATTTATAGATGTGTTTGACGACTCACTGTTGATAAAATTTGAGGAATCATGGAGAATGTGAGAAGACACAGAAAGAAAAATAAGCAAATGTTTTTTCTAAAAGTGGAGAAAAATCTTCAGAACACAATAGTAGCTAGCTTTTCCTAGTGATTATAGTAGGAAATAGGTGGTTTGTGAACATGTAAGGAAGAAGTAATTACTAGACCCGAAAATAGCCACGTAATCCTAACTGCCCTTCTGCTGGGATTATTAGTGCCTATTATATAGACATATTGTGGTTGTTTATGATCTGGAATTATTGCTAAATTCAGTGGATTCCTAGCTCAAAGTACATTTAACTCCAAAGAATATTTATTTTGAGTAGCACGTTGAAGAGTGTATCTTTATTTGGACTTAATCTGTTCACAACCAATGTATATTATTTACAGTTGTCACAAACCTTAGAACTTAAAAATATGTCAGAGGATTGAATTATGGGACAAAACCTAGTAAGTGAAATATCGCAAGGGTAAATTTAAAGCCTTCCAGTTAGATAAAGAGAGAATGGCTTCCATGAAGACAGGGTGTGGGAGTCCTGACCTGCAGCCTCCCCATATAAGAAGCAGGGATTTAAGTTGACTGCAGGCTCCACTGGGAGTCCTTACAGTCGTCCGGCTGCTAATAAAGCTAATGCTGCCTTTAAATGCCTAAAGGAAAAGGTCCAAAGAGTGGAAGATATTAACTCTGCTGTATTTTCTATAATCACACTTTTTTTCTTGTTTCCATGGTAGCTTTGTGCAAATACGTGTTCTTTGTATTTTACAAGTACGACAAATTAAATAATTAGACTGATAATATTCGGTGAGTCAGCAGATATTAATGGAGCACCTATTTTATCTGAGTCACAAGATAGTTACTGCTGCTTTACAGGGGGAAACATATATATGTGTGGATGTATATATTCTCTCCCCTACTGTGAGAGAGGAGTCATATATACAAATGATTATATACCAGGTGGAGTGGGATGCCTGCCCCAAAGTGCTATGGCGGTTCAAAAACAACAAATTCCAAGAAGCCTCATGAAGAATGGATCTTAAAGAAGTTCAACAAATGGAGATAAATGGAGAGAATATTTTAGGTATAAAAGAGGCATGTGCAGATTTGCAAAAGCTTGAAGCACAGGGCATGGCTCAGTCAATAGCAGAGTGTTCAGAATGACAAGTATACGTAATAAATCAGGGATGGCATTCTGGGGCCTGTGGTGACAATTTTATGATGGCACTCAGAAATGTAGAATGTACACTGACGACATTAGGCAATTGGGAACGATAAAAAAAATTTTAATTGGATGTTGAGATCTTTGCTTTAAAGAAATAGAACTGATAATGTGCTGGACTTCTACCAGCTGTTTTACAGACATCTCACTTAATCCTGCCGGTCGAGCTAGAGTTGGGTCACAGTGCTACCCCCGTTTATATGTGAGGAAATGAAGCTTAGAAAAGTTAATTGCTCAAGGTCCCAGCAGAAGTAGGATCAAACCCTGGTGGCCCCAACGCTGAAGCCAATGCTGTCACCCGTCACTCAGCCACAGTGATAGAGTGGCACTAGCTGAAGATGGGGGGACAGGAAGGGTTCCATGTTCTCATGGTGCTCCCTGTCCTGTAAGTGATAGACACGCCCTTTGTAGTTTTGACTAATCTGTTGGAAGCTAACCATATAACAGATATCTTCTGTGTTGTTCCTTTTGCACATCATATAAAGCCTGCGTCTTTGCACAGTTTTTGTTAACAGCACGGTTCCTCTTCCCATCAGTTCTTTGGGACCAAGTGCTCTGAAGACAGTAGGGAACGCAGCATCAGTGAAACGGAAGGAATCTTCCCAGAGCTCAGCTCAGTCAAAAGAAAAGAAGAAGAAGAAATCTGCACTCGATGAAATCATGGAGGTACGCTTTATGAAGTGCTTGTCAACTCTAGCTGTTAGGGGAATTATGTGATTCCAACCAAGGAAAGTTAAATAGTTTCACCAATTATGAGATTAATATAAAGTGAGAAAAATGTGCTCATACCAGGTTAGGAAAAAAGAGCCTAGGTGTAGTTCCATCTGAATGGGGCTGGAACGTCCTTAGATAGGTTTATTTTCTTGCCTCAAGTGCTGTCTTCAAAACACTCCATGAAATTATGATCAGTAGAGTTAGTTTAGGAGAACCTCAGTGGTAATTGAAGCCAGAAATGAAAGCTCTGCTCACCTTTGGTGGCTTCGTGAAATTGGCATCCTCCGTGGATGCCCCCACCAACCTGGGCTCTCCTGTTGCCTCCGACTTCCACTTACCACCTCCTACCCGGGAGAGAAAGCTCTGACATTATTTATTTATTTTTTTCGCGGTACGCGGGCCTCTCACTGTTGTGGCCTCTCCCGCTGCGGAGCACAGGCTCCGGATGCGCAGGCTCAGCGGTCGTGGCTCACGGGCCCAGCCGCTCTGTGGCATGTGGGATCCTCCCGGACCGGGGCATGAACCCGTGTCCCCTGCATCGGCAGGCGGACTCTCAACCACTGCGCCACCAGGGAAGCCCTCTGACATATTTTTAATGTGATCTAACCTGATGGCCAAGTTTATATGATGAATCAGTGAAAACCTATGATTATCTGGATGTAGGGCTATGCTTTTGCTCTAAATTTACCTGAAATTCTAGAGCTGTTCTGCAGAAGGTTCTTAATATATTCCTAAATATTCCTTTCTCCCTTCCAACACATCACCTTCCCTTATCAATAAATTTATGAAATAAGTAGAAAAGGCGAAGAGAAAGAATAAATGGGTACAAGAAGCTAACGTTTTTCCCTGTAACATCATTTCCTCTGGTCTCCTCATTCCTTTTCTTCATTTGTCAAGGGATGGGAGTAACTGTTTGGTCTTCCCTGTTACTGAGTCCTCACACAATGCAGGACAGTTAGAAAAGCTTGAAGTATAATATAACGTGTGTACGCTGTGAGATGTAGTCATTACATCATTCAGCAGATACTGAGTTGCTGTTACGTGCTGGGCATCATGTGAGGTCCTGCATGTGTAGAGTAGGGAGAAAAACAGTCCCTGCATGTCATGGAGCTTTCACCCTAGTGAAGGAGGCATTCCACGACCAAGTGAACCAGTGGTTAAGTAATTACAAAATGCTATGTGCTGAGGAGGTCTGAGGGCAGGGAGTGGGGAGATAGCTTGTTCCCCCACTAGGGCAGGGGAGATCTCTAGCTCAGCATCCAAAGGGAAGATCCAGGTGGCTAGAGCATGGTAAGCACAAGAGTGGTGGCATTTGAGGTTGGAGAGAGAAACAGGGGCAACACCACAGAGGTCTTATAAGCCATTTTGATTTAATTCAAAGTAAAATGGAAAGCCAGATCTACCTGCTTAGAATATAACCATGCCAAGTTTAGAATATTTTTTGTTCATATTGGAAAGTTGGAGGAATTAAGATGAGGTTTTGAATCAACCAAAGAGCGACATTGTTCAGTCCCTTTGAAAGTAGGTACTTAGGGTTAACTGAGCAGTTGAGAAAGAAAAAGGTGTGAGATACAGCCAGGTCAGCTGGTCAGCACGTTTTCCTTTTGGTCACCCTTTCATTTACTTCTCTCCTGGTTGTGTTTTTCTTCCCCTCCATTCACAGGCTTTATTATCCTTATCAAACAGGGAAGCTCCTCTTTGCCATCAAACTGTATACCCAACTATGCTGTGCTGAATTGGTCTGTAAGAGTTATGTTTTTGCCCCCTGAAAACATCGCCTGTTTTCCTGCGCATGACAGTCCAGGGGAGGAAGCAGGGATAGGGCAGAGTAATGCTGGCAGGTGGCGATGCAGTATTGACTCAATAGAGGTTGTTTACGTTTATCTTCTTGGTCAGCTGACTTGCCTATCACTTATTTTCCTAAATCCAGGTTGCTTTTTTTTTCAATCAAAAACTAATTGCAAAAAAAGGTTTGTGTTTATCAGAGATTGCAAATTATATCGATCTTCTGTGAAGTGTGTTTTATAGTGTTCTTTTGCTAAATGGAATGTTATTTGAAATAAATTGAGGATTTTAAAGAGGTAATTTTATGAATGTCTCATGCGTCCTCCAGATTGAAGAGGAGAAGAAAAGAGCTGCCCGAACAGATTACTGGCTCCAGCCTGTACGTATCCCGCTGGGGCTTCTTACTTCTAAATGTGCTTTTAAGCAAATGATTTAAATAGCATTTGGTATAAATGACTAAATTTCTTAAATATCTGTAAATTCTGTAGATAGATTTATAACTTTAATGACTTGTCTTTGCATCTACTCTGTAAGCATTGGTTGTATTGTTATTAGAGGGTTACTTCATGTTCATGGACCAGTAATGTTTCTTGAGTTTAATGCCAAATTTGTGTATGGATACCTTGAATTTAAGCCTGGAATTATTTTCAGTTTTTGCTATAAGAATACCCAGTTAGGTACTTTGTTGTAAAAACAGCTTTTTTTTTTTCTTTAACATCTTTATTGGCGTATAATTGCTTTACAATGGTGTGTTAGTTTCTGCTTTATAACAAAGTGAATCAGCTATACATATACATATATCCCCATATCTCTTCGCTCTTGCGTCTCCCTCCCTCCCTCCAACCCTCCCTATCCCACCCCTCTAGGTGGTCACAAAGCACCGAGCTGATCTCCCTGTGCTACGTGGCTGCTTCCCACTAGCTATCGATTTTACATTTGGTAGTGTATATATGTCCATGCCACTCTCTCACTTTGTCCCAGCTTACCCTTCCCCCTCCCCATGTCCCCAAGTCCATTCTCTAGTAGGTCTGTGTCTTTATTCCCATCCTGCCCCTAGGTTCTTCATAACCAATTTTTTTTTTTTAGATTCCATATATATGTGTTAGCATATGGTATTTATTTTTCTCTTTCTGACTTACTTCACTCTGTATGACAGACTCTAGGTCCATCCACCTCACTACAAATAACTCAATTTCGTTTCTTTTTATGGCTGAGTAATATTCCATTGTATATACCTGCCACATCTTCTTTATCCATTCATCTGTCGATGGACACTTAGGTTGCTTCCATGTCCTGGCTATTGTAAATAGAGCTGCAGTGAACATTGTGGTACATGACTCTTTTTGAATTATGGTTTTCTCAGGGTATATGCCCAGTAGTGGGATTGCTGGGTCGTATGGTAGTTCTATTTTTAGTTTTTTTAAGGAACCTCCATACTGTTCTCCATAGTGGCTGTATCAGTTTACATACCCACCAACAGTGCAAGAGGGTTCCCTTTTCTAAAAACACGTTTTAATTATATAAGTTCAAGGAAAGATTTGTTTTTTATTGCTTTTTTATTATTGCTGCTTCTGTCTTTTTTCGTTTTTTCTTAATCTAATTTACTAAAGTCTTTAAAAAAATTTTTTTTATTGAAGGAAAGATTCTTTAAATTCTGTAGTGCTTTCCAGTTTTCAAAAGTTTCACACACATGATTTCATGTAAGCCCATAATAACTTTTTTTTCCCTCATCCCTTTATTGCCCCTCTCCACTTCCCTCTCCCCATTGGTAACCACTAATTTGTTCTCTGTATTTGTGAGTCTGCTTCTTTTTTGTTGTATTCACTAGTTTGTTGTATTTTTTAGATTCCACATATAAATGATGTCATAGTTTTTATCTTTCTCTGACTTATTTCACTTTATTTCTTGTTCTTTTAAGATAACAATTGCATAATAATTTTGAAACATTTCAGTACTTTAAATATTTTTTATTTATTGCTGCTCGGTTTTGAACTTACTGGAATATGAAGTTTTCATAAAACCTTCAGGGTATCTTAGTTATCCTTAAGGAAGCTGGCTTGATCAATAACACGAGAGTGGAAAGTAATTATTTGGGTAATTTCTGATTTGAAAATTTCTGATTTATTATTATTATTATTAATAATGATCTTGAAGATCAAAAAGCATAAAGTTCTAATTTAAATCTTCATAGTTATTCCCTCACTAGCTTAAAAATAATTTTGTTTCCATGTCTTAGTTTATGTCCTTATACAATGGGAAATATTTGCCTGGTGATCACATGAAAGATCATGAAATAAGTTATGTAACATGAAAATCCTTGCTGTATTAAATAGAGGATAAGTGCTTCATAAACCAGACAGAGAAAGACAAATATCATATGATATCGCTTATATGTGGAATCTAAAAAAAAAAAGATACAAATGAGCTTCTTTACAAAACAGAAATAGACCCACTGACATGGAAAACAAACTTATGGTTACCAAAGGGGAAAGGCAGGGAGTAGGGAGGGGATAAATTAGGAATTTGGGATTATCAGTTACACACTATTATGTATAAAACAGATAACCAACAAGGACCTACGGTATAGCACAGGGAACTATACTCAATATTTTTTAATAACCTATAAGGGAAAAGAATCTGAAAAAGAATAGATAAACATATATATACATATAATTGAATCACTGTGGTGTACACCTGAAACTAACACAACATTGTAAATCAACTATACTTCAATTAAAAAAAAAAGAAAAACTATTAGAAAATATGCTTCATATGAATTATTTCAGTTAATTCTCATATCAGCCCTACAAGGTGATTACTGTTATTATTCCCTTCTTATAGGTGAGAAAACTGAGGTATAGCTTATTTGAGTAATTCCCCCAAGGTCATTTAGAAAGCGGTGAGCTAGGATTTCCCTGGCAGTCAGATTCACTAGGTTGTACTCTGCCCTAATAAACAGTACTTCCTGGGATGCATTAGTCTCCCTGACTTCCGTCTCTGAGTAGAAATCTGGGTCAAGATTAGAAAAGGAAGGACCTAGAGAGAGGCAACCATCTATGGATTATTTTGTCTGCTTTCCCTGTCGGAGTAGCTAGCAGTTGATATTAATAGTTTCATATATTGTTTATGAAAGTGTAATCAAGAATTTTGCTTAGAGCAGTAGTTCTTAACCAGAGCACAATTCAAAAAAATTTAGACCATTTCTTTCCAAGATATATATGCTTCAATACTACCACTATCCAGTCTCCTGGGGTGAAATGGCTATTTTCACTAACCGCCTAGGTGATTCTCATGTTTAGAATCACCTTTTTTCAGAACCATTGGTTTAAAGAAAAGAGAAAACAAACCAAAAGCAAAAAAAAAAAAAAAAAAGCATTTTTAGTTAGTCCAAAAGTTCTCTTCCCATTGACAATACTTTTGTTTTTTTAAGATTTTTTTTTTTAATGTGGACCAGTTTTAAAGTCTTTATTGCACTCCTTACAATATTGCTTCTGTTTTACGCCCTGGTTTTTTGGCCACAAGGCATGTGGGATCTTACTTCCCCAACCAGGAATTGAACCCACACCCCCTGCATTGGAAGGCGAAGTCTTTAACCACTGGACCGCCAGGGAAGTCCCTGCATTGACAATACTTTTAAAAAAATTTTATTTTCAGTTTGATAATCTTCTAGTATAGTAAATTATTCAGATTTTCTTCCTAGCGCCTCTTGGAGAATGTTACATTAAAAGTGAAGATCAGGGCTTCCCTGGTGGCGCAGTGGTTGAGAGTCCGCCTGCCGATGCAGGAGACACAGGTTTGTGCCCCAGTCTGGGAAGATCCCACATGCCGCGGAGTGGCTGGGCCCGTGAGCCATGGCCGCTGAGCCTGCGCGTCCAGAGCCTGTGCTCCGCAACGGGAGAGGCCACAACAGTGTGTGTCTCATTTTGAAACGGGCAGTATGTGTGTTAAAATAACCAGCAGCCCACAGAGATGGATTGGAGAGCTTTAGTTTTTAAACTCAGAAAAGAAAGTTTTGACAGATGTGCTATAAGCAAGTGTCAATAGTACAATGAAGTAATGAATTATGTTTAAATTATAAGTGTGTGTACCCATGAGGGCCTTTGAGAAATTTAGCCCAGAAATCAGAGAAGCTGTTGGTATTATATGGCTTCATTGAGAAAGTCTTAATAGAATACTGTCTTAAGAATAAGAACATTCAAGCCTTCCCTTAAACATATTTTTCTGCTGTTAAATATTCTCCCCCAAAGTCCTTACTAGGTTTTTGTTAATGTAATGTTTAGCCTGGCTTATTGAAGTACTTGTGACTATCTAGTACTTCTGCTGTAACCACTTGAAGTAGCAAATACAGAATTGCTGTAGTGAATCTGGAATTAAGTCAGGTGATTTAATTTTCATCGTCAGCCATTAGCCAATTGAAATCAGGAAAACAATGATAAAGAAGCAAACTCAGAATGCATTAATATGAAATAAACTCAGATTTCTCTCTCGTTGAGAACTAGATGCTCAGAAGAGTGATGCTTTTAACTGGAGCTAGTCTGGAGGAGTCCAGTCTTACCAAAAATCCAGAGCAACATCATGAGAAGAGAGCACTGTGGAAAGTGTTGTGCTTTAGCTCAAAGCCTCCGTTGCTTGCAGTTCCCAGTGAGACTCCTGCTCTCTTGAGTTTTTTTGTCAGCGGTGAATGTCAACATATAACATCCTTGGCATTTTTTCTTCCTTGAATGGAGAGAAAGAAAGAAGCTCTCTATGAAAAACCTGGATTAATAGAGTTGAGATTGGTGGATGAAAGTCCTAGATTTCAGGAAACCTTCACTATGGAAATCAGCCATGAGATACGCGTTTTTTCCTCTTGGTAACCAACTGTGTTGAATAAAAAGAGACAGAAGGAATGAAAGATTACTAAGGAAATGTTCTGCCATCGTTGGGAAGACTTCCAACTCCAAAATGTCTTATTTAGCAAAGCAGTTAACATTTTACTATGATTTTTGGTGAAAATGTTTAAAATGAAGGATCAAAAGGGGAAAGATAATTTATATCATTCCTTCCATCTTTATTTTTTTCTTATTTTCCAGGAAATTGTAGTGAAAATTATAACCAAAAAACTTGGAGAGAAATATCATAAGAAAAAGGGGATTGTTAAGGTAAGAACATGAAGTTATGATGGAATTTGGTGAAGGAGCTGGTGTGTGGCTGAGTAAAGCCATTTTGATACTCCTTAAAAATCAAGTCCTAGTAACAGAAGCAGTGTGTCTAAGGTTCTTGATGGTTCCATGAAAGGAAGGCTGACTTCCCAATGGTTGGAGAAATATTTCATTTCCAACCATAGTTTATACTTAACTTTGGTCGGCTTTCTTACTAGAGCAAATGGTATGTATGAAATCCCATCGGCACCTCTTAAAAAAATTCAGTGAGCGCACCTTGCTAGTAAGTAAGGTACATTCCCTTTGTTAATGACGGGCAATGTAATAGTGCCCCAGAGTTCCAAGGAGGACTTCCTTGTGGTTTGCCCGAGAGACTTATCTTTTGATTGCTCTAGGATTTTAAAATTTAAAAATCAATGCTCCAGTCTTTTTCTTTCTTTTGCTTTTCCTGAGTATAGTTTTGTGCTAGCCCACCCTTGTGCATGCATAAGTTGCCCTCCTACTGTACTTGAAATGACACAGAATTATCCCTCTCATTGTATTTCTTAAAGTCTTATTCTAAGATCACCAGCCTTTTCTTTCCAGATGAAAACCTTCACTAAGCTTTGAATTGAATTCTTTAAGAACCATAGCCTGAGGTCATATATGGCATCTAGAAAATAAGCTCCATCGATACAAGGAGTTACTCTTAAAACAAGTTACTCTTACCTTTTGGTTAGAATTTCATTGTTTACATTTATTTCTGTCCTTTGGACTTTGTGTTCACATGTCTCTTCTGTTATAAAAGTGTTGGTTTTACATGGTAGGAAGTAATTGACAATTACACAGCTGTCGTGAAGATGATTGATTCTGGAGACAAGCTGAAACTTGACCAGACTCATTTAGAAACAGTAATTCCAGCACCAGGTAAATCTTTTTGCAGACCATTTAATATACCATCGAAATAAGTGATTCCATTCTTTAAAACCTTAGTTTTTGACGTTACTTGGTAGTTCTGGGTATGAGTTTCCTTTTTAGAAACATATAACTGCCAATATAACTGATCCCAGTTTGACTTGGTGAGGTGGTAGTTTGCCAGTCCTCTGAGAAAGCTATTTTGTGGCATAAATAAATTTTTCCTTTCTAGAATCTTTGTTTTCTTTCCAGAAGCAAATCACAGACATATCTGGATAAAATCAATCATATTAGGATTATTATTAATATATTTGTTTAGTTATTTGAGATGGTAAAGTAAAAGTCAGTATTATTTTGCATTTTCTTTTCCTTAATTGTCTTATACATATCTAGTATAAATGCTTCTGTAGTTAGGTTGTTTGCCTCTGACGCAGACTCTTCATGGTGGTATCATTGCTGGCACAGTGATAATGTTAGTCTCTAAAACTTCTGTTTATCAGATCCTATATTCTTTCTCCATAAAATAAAATTCATTTTATGGATTAGAAATTGTGGACTTTTTTTTCAGCTTCAGTAAGATGTAATTAACATAAACTGCATCTGTATACAGTATACAATTTGATGCTTTCAACACATGCATGCTCCCGTGAAAACCACCCTTACAATCAAGTTAGCAAATGTGTCCATCACCCCGCAAAGTTTCCTCCATTTCCTTTATAGTCCTTCGCTCCCTGCTGTCTCCCGTCCCCCACGCAACCACCAGTCTGCCTTCTGTGACTAGATTATAGATTAGCTCATAGTTTTCTACAATTTTATATAAATAAAATCATACCACGTGTCCTGTGTTTCTGTCTGGCTTCTTTCACTAAGTACATCATTTTGGATTCATTCACGTTGTTGTGTGCATCTATATTTTATTCCTTTTTATTGCCAAGTATTTCATTATGTGGATGTGCCAGTTTCTTTATCCAGTCTCCTACTGATGGACATTGGGGTTGTTTACAGCTCTTGGCCGTTACAAACAAACCTGCTATATGAGCATTCACATACAGATCTTTGTATGGATATATGATTTCTGTTGAGAAAATTCTTAGAGATAGAATGGCTCAACCAAACAGCAGGCATATATTTCCGCTTTTATGAAACTAGCAACCATCTTATGATCTTAAAAAGAGAGAAATTAAAAGTAAGCTGAATTTTTTCTGATTACTTCTGGGCTCTGGGCATCTCCTCCAAGTATAAGAACCTTATACTCCTTGGTATAAAATTAAAACATCCCTTGACAAATAAGTAGAAAAAATGAGGAGCCTTGTAATGTTACAGTAATCAAAGTATCTACAAACTGTACTGTAGCATCATACAGATATTAAATGGTTAAGAACATCTAAGAGAAGAGTTTTGTTTTCTACTATGTTGATTCAGTGTAATTGCATTTGGCTGTAAGAAAGTAGAAGAAAGTGGCCATTTTCTTTGTATTAAGTGTTAACCCTTTTCTGTTACAGGAAAAAGAATTCTCGTTTTAAATGGAGGCTACAGAGGAAATGAAGGTACCCTAGAATCCATCAATGAGAAGACTTTTTCAGCTACTATAGTCATTGAAACCGTAAGTATAGTTTACACAAAGACGGAAATTTCAAAATGCTTTTAAAATGTGCTATGGTTTTTCTTCATCGGATTGGTGTTTTAAGTTTGGGTTTTCTGTTTGCCTTCTCTCCTATTTGGAAATCTATAAGCTTATTTTCTCTAATGACTGACATTACTAAAGCATTTTATTTTCTGATTACAAAAGAAATTCCTTATGTGTCTTAATCTGTTCAGGCTGCTATAACAAAATACCATAGACTGGGGTGGCTTTAGAAACAACAGAAATCTATTTCTCACGTTTGTGGAGGCTGGAGGTCCAAGATCAAGGCACAGGCAGATTCGATGTCTGCTGATGGCCTGTTTCCTGGTTAATGTGTCCTCACATGGTGGGAGGGGAAAGGGAGCTCTCTGGGATCCCTTTTTAAGGGCACTAATGCATTCTCAGGGGCTCTGCCCTCATGACCTAATCACTTCCCAAAGACCCCACTTCCTAATACCATCACATTTTGAATGTATTGAATGAATTTTGACAGGGACACAAACATTCAGTCTCTAGCAGCACTCTTGGATAAAAGCTGAAAAATACAATTTAATATAAATAATTTTTAAAATTGCCCGTAAACCTCCAGGCAAATGATAACCTCCATTAATATTTTGGTCTGTTTTTTTCAGTCTTTCTATTTTATAACACTGTATACATTACACATAGCTTTATATCCCAGCTTTCTTCCCCCACATCTAACATAAAACTCAATCTGCCGTAGTGTGATTAGTGGAGGATATATAGTCAGAGTTGGTGGGGGAAAAGCCACAGAGATCAATAATATTTTCTAATGTCCTTCTTTCTTTCATAAAGGATTTAAGGTAGAAGAGATCAATAAATAGATTTTAAGACATCTGACATTTAAGTAAAATTGTTCGTTAACTTAGAACTGATGGTCCACTGACAGGTCTGCGCATGAGGCTGAGCGAGACCTGAGCTGTCTTCAGAAGGAAGGGTCTGAAACATGTTCTTTCCTAACTGCCTAATTCTTTTTAGACCCCTGCGCTACTGCACCGTGTATCTTTATCTCTAAATGAGAAGCTTTTTCATCTCCACTACAGGAAGTTTTAGTGTTTGGGGGAATAATCAACTTCCTGAAGAGTCTGATGAAAGTTTTGGGCTCTCTGCAAGAAACTGCACATAAACTGCCAAATTTATTGTGTTCCCTTTAAGGAGTTCTTAGGTCCCCTGAGCCAACCTATGAACTGGTTTGAGAACATGTGTCTCAGGAAAGCTTTCTGGAAAAACCATTTAGGTTCTTATTTGAAAGAAATCACATTTCAGTAAATTAAGCATTTTTTCCCTGTCCTTGAAAATACTAACCTAATCACCAACGAACATAAACTCTAAGGGGAAAAAAAGGAACAGGGAATGTCACCTGTCAGTAGGGAATTTATTAATCTGACAACATGAACAGATTGAAGTTCTTTTTTAAATCAGTTTTTTTTTTTTTTTTCTGATTCAATCAGCATAAGATCTGGAAACTCTTGTATTTCCTTGGCAGGTTGAATCTCCTCCACTTTCTAGTTTCCTAATACTATCCAACTTAGATCCCGCTTCATGTTTTCATCTAAGGGAAACAGAAAGACTCAGTACTGTTGAGGATATTCTAGGTTCCATCCACACCTTTGGTTTCCAGTCTGTATGATTTTCGAGAACTGCTTTCTTCCCGGCCTTGCTGTGAACCCACAGCTCCATCTTCCCCTCTAATGCTTTCATCGCTCTCAGAGCCGGACCGAGATAGAACCTCGGAGGTGATCCGCAGGGAAAGCCTTTCTGGCTGATTGCAAAGCAGCATGTACTCTTGGGAGAGGAAACCCACATGCAAATTTTTTGGTTTTTTCTTCTTCTTTTGCAGCCTGCCTCCATTAAAAATATCTGTGCTGGTTTGTGCATGTCGGTCAGCTTGTCTCTATGTCCGCATGTTTTCTCCAAGTCAATGCCCTGAAAAACATGAACTTTTCGAGTGGTTTCTCCTATTTTTATTATTTCTGGCGTCTTAAATTTTAGTATCAGTATCATAAGATTTGGAATTTACACATTTATTAAGCAGATTTTTTAAATAGCTCACAAATTGTTCAAAACCAGCCCCAACTTTTTAGATACTTGCCTAGTTAACCCAAGTCTGGCCCCTTTCTTTATCCCTTGCTTGGCCTTCTTATCACAGAAGTGTGATTGACCTTCGACCTTTAAACCTGATGATGTCAAACTGGGTCATGCTTTATCTGGGAACTTATTTCCTTTATATGTAATCATTATAGTACATTAAAAGAAAGACATTTTAAAAGCATTTTTTAAAGGAAGGTAAAAAATGTTAAAATCTCAGCCCAGGGTTAGAGTCATCATCGTCATTTTATATTTTGCAGTGGAGAGGACCAACTTTTAAATTTTAACCAAAAGATTTAATAATAAGGGTTAAGAATTATTGAGCTTGGGCTTCCCTGGTGGCGCAGTGGTTGAGAGTCCTCCTGCCGATGCAGGGGACATGGGTTTGTGCCCCGGTCCGGGAGGATCCCACATGCCATGGAGCGGCTGGGCCCGTGAGCTATGGCCGCTGAGCCTGCGCATCCAGAGCCTGTGCTCCACAACGGGAGAAAAAAGAATTATTGAGCTCATAGGCATATTATGTTCCAGATGTTATTCTGAGCACTTTATAAGTGCTAACTCATTTATATTTCTCAACAAGCCAGTAATGTAGGGTACTGCTACTGTTCCTCACTAGGGGATAATGGGGCACTGAGGGGTTATGTCACCTGCTGAGGGTGGGGTTTGAACTTGGGCAGTCTGGGTCCAGAGCCCATATTCTTAGCCTCTGTGTTCCCAGGTTGTATCAGCTTTTATGACAGGTATCATCTTTCATTAATCCAGTTTTCTTTCCCCTTTCCCTTTTTGGATATGAAGGGAACAAGAAAATGTATTTCAGGTTAGACTCATTTTCTGTAGTAAGACCAGCCTGTCACAGCTAAACTAGACACATATGTTTGAGTGTGCGGATTTGTATTGCTTAAAATAATATTTGTTATTTAAAAACCCGACTGATAATGGCACAAACATGATAGACATTAACTTCTCATTTTGAAGTCCAGAACAGGTCTTCTGAATCAGGGAATGGCTCTTTTCTTAGGGGTGATTTGTGCGCCCAGGGTCCTTCTGACTTGTGGCTCTACCACCTTCAACCGGGGTTTTGACAGCTGCTGTGTCCGTGTGCTTCAGGCAGGCCGCGGGGAGCATGACGGGTTGCCTGTGGAGGGGAGCATGGCCTGGGCCTGGAAGTGGCCCACGTCACTTCTGTTCCCTTCCTTGGGCCGGAGCTCCATCTCATGGCATACCTGACCACAGGAGGAGCCAGGAAGTGTGACTTTCTCCAGGAAGCAGAGGAG